TTGAAGCCCTTAGCTGACTCATCGGACGAACCAAAGTTATACAACCGCTCATACCCGACCTGCTTTTTATCTGTTTAACTATTTGGTATCACTCTTACGAGTGGAAATCATGGTTACTAAATATATTGGGTTCTGCGTATTTTAAGATCCCAATCTAAGCTAATTATCAATTATTATCACTTAGCTTAAAAGCTTATTTTCACTCATTCTTCCTTTCTTCGCTCCCTAGCAGCCACTATTTTACATCCGCTTCAACTCAGATTTCTTCATAGACAGGCACAGTCTAGAATTCTCTACCGACAGTTTGACAGCCGTCCGCCTCTTGTCAATCTTTATGATATGCTGCGTATGTACTTATTACTTATTTATTTTTTACAATTTTGGATCCGATTCCTTTTTTATTTCAATCTAACATTATTGAATATCTCTAGCTTTGTGTCCATCTAAGTAATAAATTTAGCTTCTAAATTTCACCGAAACATATTTTATGAATTTTTCTCATTCTCATATCCGTCTGAATCTACATAACTATTTTTATGCTTCATTCTGACTAATGATACGGAACCCCATTCCATTTCTCTCGCTATCAGATCTATTTTCTTATTAAATCTCTAAACAGATTTATTTATCTATCCTAAGAATTTTTTCTTGTTTTGAGGAAAAATATAATCAACCTACTGGCTTGATGGCGATCTCTACTGGGGTTCAAAAGTAAACCTTTCTTTCTCAGCTTACCTCTAACTCAAAATGTTTACTGTAAATCGAAATTTCATTTATCTCTCATAACTTATTTACTGAATACTTGAACTTATGTTGAGGTACTCAACACTTCTTCTCGAGTATATTTTTATTAGTTATGCTACACGCTTGTTTATTTTCGCTCTTGATTTTTTTTCTATTATCTCTCTTTAATTCTCTTTTATGAACCTTACACGAAAGTCCCTAATCATGGTAAACGTTTGCCTTATTTTCTTTTTACAGACTCTTTCAGTCTCTCTTTGCAGCTTGATCTTTTGCACGAGCAGGCACAACGAGCTCGCGCCGCGCGGCCACCCGACCAATTGACTGTCGAAATCTACCAACCTGGAAGTTGCCTCGTTCTCTCCTATTGGCACGGGCTTGCGCGCTCCGACTTCCAAGCTACTCTGCTCGCCACGGGAAAACTGCAGCGTTGCTGTAATGTCACTTATTGTTGAAAATGAGATGTCCTGTGCTTTCACTTATATTACCAATTCAATGCACTATATCGATTTATGCCATTGGGACTAATAAGAATTATTCATACTAAATTGTACCCTATAGATGCCTCCAAATCATATGGATATCGCTTGTCACCCCCAGCACTTCGTTTTATTACGTTTTTTTAATAGTTTTTTTGTTAGTATTTTTAACCAAATGGATTCGTAGTATAGCCTAACGAACTTTCAACTCTCCTGTTTGGGTTTATTAATACAACGAATGCTCCAAGTGTATCTTGTTATTTTGCTTCTTAGACTTGAACCTATATTTCCTTAATTGTATAGATTAATCCTTCTCTGATAATCTGATATAGGTCGTTTGGGTTGAATCCGAAATATAGTTGATCTACTTCTACGTCAAAATGTTGACTTGTTATACTGTCCAGTGCTTCTCATGCGCAAAGCTTAAGAATATTTATTTCGAATTTAAAAATGAGCTTCTGTGATATGAATTTAATTGTTGGCCTCTGCATGGTTTCAGAATTAGGCACACATATCGTACATAAGGGACTGGCAGCTGAAAGGGGTATTTCGAAGTAAAAAAGAACACCTCAAATAGAAGCAATCATTTGATTTAGATAGCAGGAAATGTGATCTTATTCAAACGAATTTGGATAGCATAACGATGGAATATTTCATTGAACTCTGCATTTTTACGACACTATACCAACTCACTATAGTTATTCCTTCGGCAGTAAAGTTATTTAAAGTTAGAATTTTAGTAAAGCTTGACCTTGGTTTATATGGGATAATGGTTACAAAAGGATCTATGGGCCTGCCAACTGGTCTAAATCCCTTTTTATATCCACACTTAGTAGATTTCGAGACCAGGTCCTAAATAAGAGTCACAGTCACAACGTTACTGCTTTGCCACGACTCTTGGATTTCTTTCTATTTGTGTCCATTATCCATACTCTCCCTGCATCCATTTCGCTTCTTTAACGTGAATTAGATGATAGTACTGACATTGATGAAGCTAGTAAAATCGTCCTTAGCTTAATATAGCAATCGTTTGGGGTAGAATTGAAATGCTTTCTTCATACATATACTCTGCTGTCTTGTTTTTACAAAGTACAAAGTATTCATGTTTTCCGCATTCGATGTTCTAGCTTATACCTCTGTCAACTAAGCATCAAATATGCATTATTAATGATTAGAGGTTGTTTGACCTTGTTTTCGCAACTTGGTCATATATGTAGGAAGACTTAGAGGAACGCACCTAGTCCAGAGTCCGTTGTATGCATAATACTTTCCAAAGTCGGACCCTGGACGTGGTACATTCCCAAACGTTTTGCCGGCATCATAATCAACATCATCAGTGAGTCTCAACATTCTTACACCATACAACAACTCGTCAAAGAGACAAGTGAGCCTATCCTTTGACCAAACGTGTGCTAAACAGTTGTGGTATCTCCCCTTCTATCCTGGGCTATTCACATTTCCTATATTCTCCTATCACGCCTTCACTGTTATAATTTTTACCTTGCCTATTTCGATGTAGTGCGATGGTGTGCTCCTTTGAGCGAAATTCATGAAAACCCTTAACACTCGGGCTGTCATAATCACCCCCTTCATCCTTGTGCTGGGACTGTCGTCCAGAGTCTGCTATATTGTTACGTAGTCCTTCTTCCCTGGATCCTATCAGAGTCCCCCTCATGTCCCGTAGAATCCGTCTGCTATCTGCCAGGTACGTGTTACACTCGACCCCTGCACCTGGGTGACTGATTCGAGGCTAAAGCCTCTGAGTAAGTTTCATGGCCACGCCCGTGGTAAAACTGTCAGCCAACTAGCTCCAGTCTCCGCCGCGTCTATCCTGTTTCTGTCTCTAATACCAAGTCTATGACTTGCCATGTCCTAGTCTCTTGTCTGCTAACCCACAAATGTTGTGGTACTGCTTGCTTTGATTAGGTTCAATGTTGAACTTTCTCAACTTGTCCATGTAAAAATTTGCCAAAGGAGATGAGAGTGGAGATCCCATTGGTAGTCCAAATATTTGCTCATAGATACTATTGTTAAATGTTAAATATGTGGCAGTAAGCACCTTGCTAGAGATATTGGAGCAAGAAGAGGACATCCTGGAGGAATAGCGGATACGGAAAGAATCGTTTACACGACTGATCAACCTGTCAGTAAGGACCACATATTTTACAATTAACGGAAGTATCTATGAGCAAATAGTTGGACTACCGATGAGATCTCCACTCTCACCCCTTTTGGCAAATATGTACATTGACAAGTTGGGCAAGTTCAACATTGAACCTAATCAAAGCAAGCAGTACCACAAAATTTGTGGGTTGGCACACAAGAGACTAGGGCATGGTAAGTCATAGACTTGGTATTAGAGATAGAAAAAGGATAGACGCGGCGGAGGCTGGAGCTAGTTGACTGACAGTAGGTTTTACCAGAGACGTGGTCCATGTAGCAAAGGCGTGATCATGAGACTTACTCAGAGACTTTAGCCTCCAATTAGTCACCCAGACGCACGGAAGGGGTAGTAACGCCTCGAGTAGGACAGATGGGATGGCAGGGGTCGAGTGAAATACGTGAACCAGGGAGAGAGAAGACGGATCTTACGTGGCAAGAGAGAGACTGTGATTAGGCCTAGGGAAGGAGGACTGCGTAACAATGTTGCAGATTTTGATCAACATTCCTAGCACCAGGACGAAGGGGTGAGCACGACAGTGTGGAGTGTGGAAGGTTCACATTAGAGCCGCTCGAAAGGGCACACCACACTAGATTTAAATAAGCAAGGAAAAAAATTGTGAT